AAGTACCATGTATCTACCCTAAGGTACACTACCTTAGGTAAGGTACCTGGGTAATTAGTGACCGGTGGCCTCGTGGATCATCTTTCCCGTCTTACCTAAGAGATCCGGGGTGTTTCCTTCCCAAGTTCCTCCCCTCCGAGGTGCTGGATTTTTTTTTTCGACCTTGACCAAGCTCCCCGGTGTGCTACTTACTGCCACGTCCCGACCCCCCCTAAACGCCAATTTGTACATGCCACCTGCCTCACTTCGCCCTACCTCACCTTCCTTGCCTTTTCAATCCATTCTCTACGTACCTTCACTTTTCTTCTTTTCCTGCCGTCTTACGTGCCTTACAAAGTGCCTTCGTGCCTTCCTACCTTACCTTACCTTACCTACCTCACCTGCGCCGAGTTCCAATCCGTGGCCTTTTATCCTTCCCTTCCTTTCTCATTCGTTCCTCCGCTCCTTGTCCCCTTGTCCCCCGTGCCTGTCGTCCCAGCTCCCCCCGTGGCTCTGGCTTTGGCGCTGGCTCTGGCCTTACCTTAAGCTTTTCCTTCCAACAACGACAACGACGGAAACCGAGAAATGACATCGAATTAACATACACATCATCCTTGCTGCTTTTCGACTTCTTTGGACTCCAGGGTCCTCCATCCTTCGACTTGACTGTCTAGCGCTATCTGCAGTGTAGCACGCGACAGCAATACAACTTCTCCCCCACCGCGCGACGAGAGCCTCGCTCCGGCGAGCCCGCAAACATGATGCCCCGCCGACGGAGCCGTTATGTGATTCTTGTCGCTGTTGTTATGGTTTTCATGCTGTATCAGGTCTTCAAGAACCCTGAATGGGATTCCACAGGTCAATCCACCAGCATCAAGCCCAGCGAACCCGAAAAGGGCCAAAATGTCCACAAGGATTCCTCGAAGCCACCCCAGGCCAACGATCCCGCTTCCAACAAGCACCTCAACAACCAGCCGCCCCCCGATAGCGAACATCCCCACGACCAAGAGGAAGACGAGCCCGAGCAGAACCCTCAGAAACAGACGGCCAAGCCCACTGTCAAGATTCCTCAGCTCAAGACGGAGAAGGCCAAGGCACCCACCAACACCCTCTCTGGCCCTACTCTTTCCATCCATGCCTACAATGACGAGGTCGAGGCCACCAAGTCGCCCGAGGTCACCAAGGCGCCCACAAAACCTCTAGAGTTGGAAGAGGACCTCCATGCCAAGAAACCTCCCGGCCGACCCAACTTTGATATCGCCGAGAGCATGTCGACCTCGACGTCACAGATCCACTGGCACAAGGTCTCCGAGCACTTCCCTATTCCAACGGACGAGATTATTCCCCTCCCCACGGGCAAGCCCAAAGACATTCCCAAAATCCAATATGACTTCAAGCCAGAATCCGAGGCTGCCAAAGACAAGCGCGAAAGGCGCCTAGCACTGATTAAGGCCGAAATGCTACGATCATGGGGCGGATATCGCAAGTACGCTTGGATGCACGATGAGCTTTCCCCCGTTAGCGGTCGCAACCGCGATCCCTTCTGTGGCTGGGCTGCTACTCTCGTGGACGGTCTTGATACGCTCTGGATCATGGGCATGAAGGAAGAGTTTGCCGAGGCTGTCAAGGCCGTCAAGGAGATCGACTTCACCTACAGCCCGACGCGCCGTGACATCCCGGTCTTTGAGACCACCATCAGATACTTGGGCGGTCTCCTCGCTGCTTACGACGTGAGCGGTGGCAAAGAGGGTGGCTACACTGTACTGCTGGACAAGGCCGTTGAACTTGCCGAAATCTTGATGGGCATTTTTGACACCCCCAATCGCATGCCCATCTTGTACTACAATTGGATGCCCGAGTATGCTTCCCAGCCACACCGAGCTACGACCGTTGGTGTGGCCGAACTGGGTTCGCTTAGCATGGAATTCACACGCCTCGCCCAATTGACCGGTAAAGACAAGTACTACGATGCCATCGCTAGGATTACCGACGCTTTCGAGGACCTCCAGAATCGTGGCACCACCATTGATGGCATCTTCCCTGAACAGCTGGACGCTTCTGGCTGCAACAGGACCGCAGAAGCCATCATCTACCAAGAGGCACAGGCTGCGGCTGCTAGTGCGAGTGCGGCCGCTGCTCGATTGAGCGAGCCCCAGGGCCACGAGCCTGCGGCTGCTGAGGCCAAGCGCGACGAGACTGATCCGATTCTGCCCCAGGAAACTGCTGTGGCCAAGGGTAACGGTAGTGAGCCGGAAAGCAACCCGCTTGCGAGGCGAGCTGTTGGTGTCGACAAGAATGGCGAGTCTGTGGTTGAGAATGCAAATATCGATAACAAGCAGGCCTTCCCAGCGCCCAAGGTCAACGAACAGCCCTTGTACCCCGGTAACAGTGGTCGGAGGCCATCTACTCCTACAACACCTGACAAGTCTTCATGGGAGTGCATAAAGCAAGGTCTTGCCCCTGGTGGTTGGGGATACCAGCAGTACAGCATGGGTGGTAGCCAAGATTCCACCTACGAGTATTTCCCCAAGGTAAGTTGATTTTGAAAAGTTGTAATGGAAATGAGCCTAACTTGCGTAGGAATATCTCGTCCTTGGCGGTCTGGAGCAAAAGTACAAGACGATGCACATTAAGACGGTCGAGGCTGTGAAGAAGTGGCTTCTGTACAGACCTATGGTTCCCAAAGAAAGGGATATCCTCTTCTCGGCCAAGGTTTCGACCTCTGGTGACCCTGAAAACGACCTGCGAACTGAGTATGAAGTGACTCACCTCACCTGCTTCATTGGTGGCATGTTTGGTCTGGGAGGCAAGATTTTTGACAGACCCGATGATATTGAGATCGCCAAGAAGCTCACTGACGGATGCGTCTGGGCATACGAAACCATGCCTTCCGGCATCATGCCTGAAGGAGCCTCGGTCGTGCCCTGCGCGTCTACCAAGAGCTGCCCGTGGAACGAAACTCTTTGGTGGGAGCACCTCGACCCGTCCGCTGACTGGCGTGAGGCACAAGTCAAGGCGTGGGAGGACAGGCAACGTGAAAAGAAGCAGCAAAAGCAGCAAGACGCCCTCCGCAAGCAAACAACTGAAAGAGGCAACAAGCCTGTGGAGAAGTCGACCGAAGAGACAATTCAGTCGGAGTCACCCGTCGAAAAGAAGGACCCTCTCGACGATATTCACGTTCCCAAGGATGAGCCAAAGAAGCTAGGATCAGCGGAGAAAACCGAGTACCCAGCGCCTGAGCCAGGTCTGAACAAGTCCCCTTCAAATGTCGATGAGCACCTCTTGAAGAAGAGGGACCCTGCTCCGCCAGTGTCTCAAGACCCTCGAAAGGGAACTGCTCAGGAGGCCGCTAGCAGCACTCTGAAGGACAAACTTGACCTGAACAACCCTGGGAGTGCCACCGACGATATCTCCGGCAGTGTCCCCAACGATGCACCCGTCAGCGGTGGTATCGTGGGCAAGATCGCGTTCGAAGAGGAGGGAGAGGTTCCCGATCCGAAGCCGCTCTCACACGAGGAGTGGGTGAAGGACAAGTTGGAGCTCGAGAAGATCCCGCCTGGCTTCGTCAACATCAACGCCAGGCGTTACATTCTTCGGTAAGTCATCATCACTGATTCTCATTCAGAATTTCAGCATGGCTAACGCTTCTACAGTCCGGAGGCTATCGAATCCGTGTGGTACATGTATCGCATCACTGGAGACCCTGTTTGGCAGGAGAAGGGATGGAAGATGTGGGAAGCCATCATCAAGGCGACTCGTACCGAGCATGGCAACAGCGCCATTGACGACGTCCTGTCTGAAGATCCCCAACCTGTGGACGAGATGGAGAGTTTCTGGATCGCCGAGACGCTCAAATACTTTTACCTCTTGTTCTCGACCCCCGATGTCGTCAGCTTGGACGACTGGGTGCTCAACACCGAGGCGCATCCGTTCAAGCGGCCTGTTTGAGGCGGGATGAAGGTGTGAATCTGAGTGTGTGTACGAGGGAGGGGAAGGTGCAGAGAGCATGACTTTTTGGCATAAGATATCACGGGTGGTGGCTACCATGGCGTTGCGGCGTGCTTGTGTTGATTTGCTTGGCTTGATTTGCTGGGGCTCAGAATGGTTCGTTGTATAAATTTTTAAAAAGGACTGGTAGCTAAATACTAGTCCGCAGCATAATGATGAGCGATGAAATTGGCCAAGCCTGCGCTGCTCTATCTACCTGAATCTTTCTATCCTCTAGTGAATGAATGAACATTCGTTGATGCTACTTAACGAGAGTACTTTCCCAGTATATCGTTAACACTTCACTGGGTTTTCTCAACACGGTCATCATGACACAGGTTCGCTCACACACCATGTAAGAGTGGGCACGAGTCAATTGTCATGTCACTTCAATCACTTGGTCATCGAGAGTTCGTTTTTGGGTTTTGTTTGTCATGTTCAATTTCATTTCCTTCACTCATCTCATCCTATCTGTGTCGTCTCTCTGCGGGCGGATGCCTTTGCTCATCGTCATCTACAGCGGATGACATACTCCTACACATTGACCGTTCCCCATTTCCCATGCGTCCGACTTCGTTTCCCCCATTTCCCCCCTTTCGTATTGCTCGGTGTCGTTTCGTCTCCGTTGCGAGCATGCTGCATCATTCACTACTCTTGAAAAGAGAAGGAGCTCATCTATATTCATTTTTGCTCTCGTGAGCAAACCAACATTAAAAATGACGAGGGGTTCTTTTTGGCAAGATTTCGAAATGTCTTGCCGCCCCATGCCGGCCCGGAATGAAAGCCAGAAAGAGAGGGAAAAAAACGCAAAACTCGATATACAACGCCGATGTCCCAGATGCTGATGGTTTTTTTGTGCTGGACGATGAATGTGCTGATGGCGAAAGGGGTCCGAATAATGTCCCTTCCTTGAGAAGCCCTCCATGTACAAGTTTTCCCCTTCGACTCTTGCTTAGGACTTTGTGCCCATCTTCTTCACACATGTATCGTCGTCAAATGTTTCGTCTCATTCAATCTTCTCCGTCGTCGGCTCCTTAATCGACCATCTGGCTCAGAACACGAATGCTGAGAATCATGACCAACAAACCGATGGTGACAATGATGAGCAAAGTGAAGCTGAACCAACCGAGAACCATTGCGGAAGTACCGACACCAGAGCGGACAGCACCGTTACCGAAATCTTGGGCAATAATCGACGCAGCGACGGATGCAGTGTGCTGCCAAAGTACAGAGACCAACACGAAGATGGAGGCGATGAAGATGATGGCCAGCGAAATCTGGGAAACGGGACGCGAGGGGAAGGGCTTGACTTCGCGGTCGGAGCCCTCGGAATCCTCCTCCTCATGCCAGCCTGGGAAGGTGGCGAGCAGAAGGAAGCAGACGAAGGCGAAGATGATGGCGATGATGCTGGGTGACTGTCAGTATCTCTTCTGTGCTGAAAGATCGTGTGGGTAAACTCACATGAGATAGGGGAAGACAATCATATCCTTGAATTGAGCGGCAAGCCAAATCAAGTTCAGGGGGTCCTGGTCGACCGACACCTCGTTGGCGAGAGCGGTGGCATTGTTGCTGCAAAGCCAACTGCCACCATCCGGGCTGATGCAGATACCAAAGTATCCAACACGGCAGGCAAGGCGGGCATCACCGGCAATGTTTTCAATAGCAGTGTGGACGTTGTAATCGACTTGCGCCGTAGAAGGGACTGCCGTGTAATGGTCATAGTACAGCGACAGGAGGAAGATGTCGGGGATCAAAGGTGATGATGACGAACAACCTGCCAAAAGTAGAGCTATGAAGATCGTTAGCACATGGCTCGCGAGGTCCCGCAGCGGGTCTAGATAACTCACATAGAAGGATAATGGCGATTGCAATCAAGATCATCAAGACATGGTGGTATCCTAGGAACGGTACGAACCCTGCGATGGCGAAATGTTAGTCGGGGTTTGCTCTCTTGCGTTGCGTTGAGCAGAAAGCTGGGATAACTCACGATACCAGCCTACTTGGAATTTCGGCATCTTGACTGTGTGATATCACTCCAGTCCTCGAGAGGAATGGCCCTCTTGTTGGTGACCCACGCCGTCCTCCGTTGAAGCGGAGCGACGGAGGGGTTCTAGTCCTGGCACCTCAGCGTTGGCACGCTTGGTGTCTTTCCCTATCGTCGGCGGGAAGTGATCGCGCGAGCGGGGAGGGAATGCGGAGCGAGGGAAACTCGTGGCTCGATGGAATGTAGACGATAAGGTTGCTTGGTTATGGTTGAAGAATCGAGGATAGTGGGTTGCTGGAGAACACCGCGAGGAATGCGGGACGGTGTCGGAACCTGCGATTAGAGTGAAGCCTTTCCGGATATTGTCAGACGCAAAAACAGACTTCCACTTTTGATGCTTGAGTAGAATGCAAAAGTGTGAGAGTGTGTGAAAGTGTCAAAGTGAATGTGCGGGTCGGGTCTTCGAAGGGTGGGAAGAGAAGTGGTTTGATGCAGATGCAGGTGCGGATATTGGGATGGCTGGGAGAGGAGAGAAGGAGGGTTGGAAGGGTGAACTTAGTTTTGTCTCTGCCAGATGATGATCCAGAAGCAGAATTGAAAGCGGGAAGCCCGCAGGTTCGGGGCGAGCGGGAGAGGTTTGTACGTCTGCAGAACGAAATATTCAGATGGCTGGGAGGGAAGAAAAGGTCGATGGATGTATGGATGGTCTGGAGACTGGAGAAGAGGAGCAGTGACAAGTTTGGGAAAAAGAGATGTCGACGAGGATGCGCAATTGGTCCTGCCATCCACTTTTTGGTCAGAAAGGCTGTGCGGCGGTTGCGATGCTTGGTGTCTAGGTCTCTAGGAGCAGTATCCGTACGTTAGAAGGAGCTACGTAGCTACGCCAACCTCCTCTATTTACTCTTGGTACGGCGGCCGTTGTCCGGGCGATTTGCAGCGTCGCAGCGGTTCCTGGGCGAGCAGGGCGGAAGAGTGGGGCCATACCTTTAAGAGACGTGGTACGTACCCGCTAGAGTTGTCTGGGGGAGGCCCCTTCGCTGCGTCTTCTGTGGCTTTTAGTGGCTTTAGTGGGAAAGAACGGGTTCCACCAGCGCGGGAAACAGGCCTCAGAGGTTCAAAAAAAAAGCCCGGTGGCTGGGTGACGTCTTTTCAGGGGTCCCCCGTTCCGTGTCCCCCGTCAAATCTAAGGCCGCAGCTTTAGCCCAAACCTCTGCGCGTGTCTAGCCTCGTCAGGTCCAGCCAATTCTCAGCTTCTCTTCCTTTACAATTTTACCTTAGCTGAGCGAGCTCCAAGCAGAGCAATCAGACACTTCAACAGTCCAGAGTTCTCTTCAAAGACCCCTTGTCAACTGCCTTAAGTGGGCTGTTTTAACGCTCGCGCTTCCTCTTGTATCTCGCGGCTTTCCCTGTTTGTCCTTCGCTTGCTTCAAGCTTGCCCCTCGCCATACCCAATCCAACAGGCACACGACTCGACTCGAGACGGCATCTCGGCGGTTCCTGCATTGGAGATGAGACCCGAAGCCGGGGTCCGGCACATTACGTTGGTTCCTTGATTTCGTCCATTCGCTCGTGTCGAGTCTTGGTGATGCGTTGTTACGGCGCACCGAAAGTACGTGCGAAGTACAGATTCTAGCCCTTTTGCCCCAGTTGGCATGGCGACAGCATTGGAAACACAAAGTCCCGGATGACAGCCAAGAATCATCCTCGGGTTCTTTACGGATACAATCACTCGGCGCCCTGCCACATTATGCCTACACCGGTCAGCTTGCATGCTCTCTTACACAACAGCTGAGGCTATTCGCAGTCGAGCTCCCCTGCTTTGCGGATACATCTACTGCAGAAACCCCAGGCGGCTCCGTGTTTCCCATCGAGACCCATCGATTTCTCATCCCCACCATGCAAAGTCCCATCCTCTTCGCCTCTGCAGCGGTAAGATACACGAACACACCGCTCGATTAGGCGGTCAATCTCACTCTTCAGCTCGAAAACCGTCAGCCTGTGAAGTACAATCCTCTTGTGGCTGCAAGACTGTGATCTAGACACCTGTCACGGTTGTCGAATGTCAACCATTCCTTCTGTCTCTCTCTCTCGGGTCCGCATTGACCGTCTTCGCCGGATGTTAGCGCCGTCTGCCTGCGGTGCCCGAGTTGCCGGAAATGCGCAGATCACGGGAGTCTATGTGCTTGCCTCGCCCAGCGCAGCGACTATCAACAACACTGCCATCCTTAGGGAAACTTTCTTCAACGGCATTGGGAAACTGTCATCATCTGGATCTGTTCGCGAAGGAATACGCCTCGCAAGCCATTGACGCAATCTGTCTGATATTTTGCCTGCCTCAGCGAGCCGATTGCCGATTACACGGACTCAACGCCGGACGGTTATCCTTCAGAGAAGGAATCACAGCCTCTTTAGAATTGCCAGCGAAGAACCCGTGATGACTCACTGACAACATGATCAAGCTTCACAGTATTCTTTCTAATGATGACAAGTATTTCAGCCACACGAGAAGTCCCGGGTTGTCGCTTTACTCGGGAACCGCAGAAGCCGGCCTCCGGCCTCGTTGTCACTGAATAATATGTGGCTGGTAAATAGAGTCATTGCGCCATGGCCAAGACTTGGATGCACCCACTGCTTGAGTCGATACCCTGTTGTTTGTAAGACCACATCGTTGATGAATTTGACATCCAACAGGAAAGAATTCCTCCCTCAAATATGAGTTCACCTAAAAATGGCAGAACGCTCATGGATATCCATAAACATGACAGCTACCATGCGGTTTCCAATTATGTACGGATATATGCATATATTGATTAGGCATCTGTAGCTGCCTAGCTCTCTCTGAATATGCCTCTACCGTGCAAAAACCTCATACCCGTTCAATTGCATGTGCCCCACCGCTTGCTGTCCTCCCTCAGCTCCACGTCATTGTTCAGACCACAGTCGCAAAGTGAAGGTTCAAGAATGACACTTGGTACGCGAACAGCTGCAACAAAGCCTGGCCCGACATGAGCACGAAGCTTGGAGACCGCGCTCAGGCGGGCGCTCTAGATATCCGCGTTGAAGATTACCTCGACGACAAGCTCCAATCCACCACCGATCTCGAGAACCTCGACTCCCTAATCGCAAACGTTGAGGTCCAGCGTAGCCAGCTCCAGACTCAGCTCGACAATGCCATCAAACAGCTCGACGAAGCTCGCCAGACAGCCGGCGACCGCCAGTCCTCCCTCGCGCAGCGTATCCAAGACTTCCAGGAGCTCCAGCACAGCATCGATGTCCGAGTCAAGATTGCGGCCGCATCAGACGCCCCGAACCAGGCCATCGCGAGGCTACAACAGCCTATGAAGAAGCTGCAGACAATCGAACTTGCCCAGAAATACCTGACGCTGCTACAAGATGTCGAAAATCTGCGGACCGAAGCTCGCTCCCACCTCCCCGATAGCCCAAAAGCCGCTCTGGAGCCGTACTCGAAGCTCAAGCAATTGTCGAGACGCCTTGAGGAACTTTCGGGACCGGCCGATGATGCGGCAGTACACCTCGTCAACCATGTGCGGAGCGTTGCCGATGCGCTATGGGATGAGATGAAGAAGACAATGTCGAGCGAGCTGGAGGCTGTTCTCAGCAAAAGGTCGTGGCCCATGGTGGAACCTAGCTCTGAAATGGACGACGAGTGGCTCGCCTGCTTTGAAAAGTTGTTGGACCTCCAGATTCCCGAGGTCATTCTGAGCAAGTCCACCGTCAGCTTGCTCTCGTTCGATGTCATGTCACGAATCTTCATCTCGGAATTCCGTTTCCACTTCCTCAGCGACAAGCCAACGAGCAAACCCGATGCCGTTGGATCGCACTGCTTCCCCTGGTTCTTGGCAACGATTGAAAAGTGGGAAGACTTCTATAGGGACAACTTGGGTTACATCCTAGCTGCCAAGTTCCGTGATACATCCGCGGGCAACAGCTTAGTATACGTTGATCCGGTCTGTGCTTTCATCACCAGCATGCTTCCCGTTATGAGAGAGAAGGTTCAGAATGTGGTTGCAGAAACGGCCAAGAACCCTGCCTTCTTGAGCAGCTTCATGGGTCAGTTGATGACATTCGATGAAAGCATTCGGACAAGGTTCAACTACGACGGCGGTGATCCAGACCAAGGTTGGCCTGGCCTGGCAACTGAGATCTTGGAGCAGTGGTTCGAGCCTTGGTTCCAGGCAGAGAAGGAGTTTGCTCTCGAGCGCTTTCAAGCTATCATGGATAGTCCCGATGCACGAAACATCGACTACGATTATGCTGTAACGGGCAAGACAAAGCCGACTTTCGGCGCAGTGCGCGTCACTGATCTGTTGAGGTCTATCACAGCTCAATACGAGAGAGTACGCGCCTTCAAGCACAAGATTCGGTTCTTGATTGGTATTCAACTCGATATTCTCGACGAGTTCCATGACCGCCTGCGTGGTTCTCTCGAGGCCTATCAGGCACTTACATCAACTGTTGGCAGAACTTTGCACGGTGTCACGAAAGAGCAGCTTGCAGCGCTCGAAGGCACTGGCAGTTTTGAGTCTCTGTGCAAGGTCTACGGCAGTGCAGATCACATTGTCAACACCCTCAAGGACTGGGGTAACGAGGAATTCTTCGTTACACTATGGGACCAATTGCAGGGTCGCGCCACCAAGGAAGGCGAGACGTCGAGGATGTCAGGCGAAATGAGTTACGAAGAGGTCAAGGACCGCACCTCTGCGTCCGTCGGCTCTGAGGCCAATGACGGCGTCCTCTTCGATGAGACAATCGCTGCGTACAGCCTCAGACGCAAGACAGCACAGGAGTTCTTGGTCAACGCACTTGCCGACTCTCATTACAAGGCCTTTAGAGCATACGCGACACGGACGCATTGGACAACTATTAGTGACAGTGGTTCCGAGAGTGAGTTTCCAAACCTTGATGCATTATCATGCACGATACTGACCAAGTACCAGTTGATCCGTCGCAACTGGCTGTTACGCCGGAGCTCGACGAGCCCTTGAGAGTAGGTCTCCCCGCAGCTCAACT